GATTGATGGCCGCTGATGCGTCGTTTTGTGGGCCGGTGGCCTGTTTAACATTGACCTCATGTGAGTGAAGCAGCATGTGGCTCATTGCCCAGAGTTGTTTTCATACGCCTGGAAATGATTTGATATCAGCTGGACCTTGTACGGTGCATTCCGTGCATGTGCGCTCTCTCTTCTTCTTTGCAGAGAATTAATTTTGACACAAAAAGTTCAACGTCAGAATTGTCACTTGATGATCTCATCGGTTCGGAATGTCGTCTCTTCAGCGTGCAAGATGATTGGGCAATGCACACCTTTAAAGAAGCATTCATACCGGAGAGGAAAAAAAAACCCACAAAAAATATCGGATGAAAAATACAGAAATATTTTTTCATGAATATTGAAAACAAATATACCAAACTAATTTCTTAACCCTTTCAAGTACAGCGGTTACTACAGTGGACAGTTTATCATGTTGTGCATGAAAGGATTAATATGATGACCCAATTTTTAATTGAATCTCGTCATCCAGTACCACCATTTGAAACAGTAATGCGAACTGTCTCAAATTTTCCAAAACAATGCGAAATTATCCTAATGGATCAAAAAGACTGACTGCTGGACTCAGAGAGCAAGAATTGAGCAACGATCCGTGACTTTAACTTTGACTTTGACCGGCGCTCAGAGTTCCATTTGGTTGATCTGCAAATGAAGGTGCCTTGGTGAAATGACGCCGCCGACCTTGAGCTGCCGAATGGCACCATTAGACACGGCACCTGCTGTCGCTTCGTTGGCACCCGGTAGCGCCTTTTAATCGAGGGAGGCGTTGACAGGAAGTGCCGTGAAGGCAGACAGGAAGTGCACCTAACGAGCCACCGCAGTCGTCCTTTATCAGACTCAATCATCAGACTTAGCGGCTTAACATTCAATTAGCTGCCATTACAGCCGCTTGGCTGCGGCTTTATGAATATTTGAGAGGTTGATGTCGCGTATCTGCGAGCTGTGGAGGTGACTTAACATTTACTTTTGGATTATTTTCGAGCGTACTGATGACGCCTCATTGAAAAAGCGGGCTTGTTATTTATGTGACTACGCAGCTTCGATGTCATGAGAGGCGGGGGACGCGCTGTGATGCCCTGCTGGTTGTCTGCTGGGGTTTTAAGATTTACGTGACAGCCCTGAATGCAACACATTCAAATGAGATGAAATCACTTTTTACGTTACTTAGAATGTTTAGAAAATTCAGCCCATAAAGCCAGTTTCACTTAGAAACATGAAGTTTGGGAGACATGAGTAAATCCACAAAAAAAATAAAAATAAAAGTCTCAAGAAGCCATGCGGTATAACGCACAAGAAATGTTGTCCCATTGCTACCAAATTTGAAGCATGTACACCATATTGATACATTGTGTATGCATTGCTGGCGTTTTTTCATTTGTCTCAAATGGCTCAATTGAACCTACCTTTTTTTTTTTTTTTTTTTTCTCCAAACATGGGGCACAGTTTTTGTCCTGCAGATCGATGCAAAAAAAGAGCGTGCGGTCTGTATTTCAATGTGCACATGCAATGCCTAATTGAAACAGCATGAGGTGTTGGTGCGTTGTAACAAGAATTTTGAACAATGGTGGAGGTGAAGATCACTTTGAATTGGGTTGCCCAAATTTGTCAGATGACAACTCTGGGGATCTGTTACAACAACACGGCGGCACTACATAAAGCCGACGCAACTAATGACAATTGCAGGTTTTAGAGATTGGTCAACATGATCTTGTCACTGCTTAAATTGAAAATAAAACCATGGATGTCAGCGTATGAATGTTGGCGAATGAATGGTTGCAATAATTTCACGGGGGGGGCTAAAATTGTTCTATGAATGTTCATTCACTCTTTTTATTTATTATTCATATACCCGCCTAAATGATTTTTTTCATTGACTTATTGTCAATATTAAAATATTCTTCCCTAAAATAAGTTCAATAAAGTATTGACTTTGAGGGACAAAAGTTTTGTGGTCGAATGAGATCCTCTTGTTTGCGTGCATCGCCATAGAAACGGAGGCTGGACGCCCTGGTCGTCATGGGGACAGTGCAGCACCAGCTGCGGCACGGGATTCGAGCTGCGCCAGCGCTCCTGCAACAACCCGGCGCCGCGGCACGGAGGTCGCGTCTGCGTGGGGGCGAGCCGCGATGAGAGGTGAGGGAAAAACAAAAACCTCTTCTGTTGTGGATCTCAAAACTCTTGGCCCCCCTGTTTAAATGCTTTTTGCACCATTCATGTTGGCTATAAGGTGCACGATTCGATGGTAAATAAAAAAGAAAAAAAATGACAGAATGTTGCGAGAAGAAAGTTCAATTTTTTCCGGGGAAAATAATTTTGTTTAAAAAAAAATGTAGAAAAAAAACCCCGCCCC